TGTTTGTGGAGAGAAGAGAAGAGGGGAGGCAGGGGGATAATGAGAATCAGAAGGAGGGGGGGGGGGAGGTCGCAGGCCACATGGCCGATAAGTGAGAAGAGAGGCTGAAAGAGATGAGAAAGGAGGCAATAAAGCAAATGCATCGAGGGCAGAGGTGAGAGACAGAGACAATGTGCAGGCAGGTCATAGAAACACTAATACAATCTGTTTAAGTGTTTAGCTTTGACCACCTCCATTATGGCCTCAGCTCCATTTAAAGTAAAAAGTGGCGGCATGACAGATAATTAATGACAATTTTTACTGCGGTTTTGTGCGCATCGCTAGAAGAAAACAAGTATTTCTCTCTTCCAGGCCCTAAATTATTCATAAAATCAGTCGGATGATCCTTTGAGTGGCACTTTGCCCTCAGCGTGGTGCCAGAAACAGGAAGAATAAATTGCAATCTTCAGAGGAGGAAGAGAGCATTTTTCATTAGATTACACACACTACGGCATTGTTGAGTGGAGAGCAAGTGCAATCTTTTGTGTTGATTCACTTCCCTCTGAGCTGAGGAGCGTGAGATACAGTATTGTGTGTGTGTGTGTGTGTGTGTGTGTGTGTGGAACTGTAATGACAAAGACGTTCAGCATTCATGTATTATATTATCAAACTGTGAAGGCCCTCTACTGGTGGCTACTGAAAACAGACTTCAGTCAGCATGATAACAGATGCAACAATGGTGACGTCTTCTTAATTGTTAAGAGATAAGTTAAGAACTTTATAAATAAATAATTAAAAAAAATATGTACATGGTACACGTTCCATGTATTTTGCAAGTGGTAAACAAATATCATGGGTTCAACTTCCATACATGCCTTTAAAATGCTACAAATTTCTGTTTCGCAAAGTTAGGAAGACCCGTGTGTGTTACAAGTCGACTGTAAACCAAACGGTACATAAGTTAAAAGAGGCAGCTTGCACCAAAACAAATGTAGAAACATATGATGAATGGACATAAAAACCAACTACCATACAATCCGACGTACCCACTACGTCAGCACATAAGCAGTCTTACCAGACAATGACAACAGCCTAACTGACTTGGAGACAGTGACAAAATGAAAACATGTACAAACACATTTACAGTTCAGAACAGCAGCGGTCTGCCATGACGGTGTTCCATGACATCTACGCTTTGTGTCTGAAGCGACCTACATTACACTCAAACCTGGAGGACTTTGAGGTTCACGGTCTTGCTTAAGGACACTTGGACATGCTATGATGGGATTGAACCACCATCCCTGCGATTAACAGGCACTCATGCTCCAGCATCTATGAAAGAAAAATGTCACGCTCCGCATTACATTCACTTAGCAGATGCATTTGTTTCGGGCAGCTTATATTTTCTTCCCTACACATGCATCGGGAGCAAAATGGAATTCAGTGTCTTGCTCAAGGACACTTTGACATGCAGAGCCACAAACCAACAACCTTACTATTAACGGCCCAGTCACAGCCGTGTCATATAACCAGAGTTTACAGTTGCACAGCGAAAACAAGACGATGTAAAATTGAGTCATTTTCTGGCCTTAAAATGTATCTTATCTAACTCATCTCCCCACTGTTTCCTCAACAACAGTGGAACACCTTTGTCGATAGTTGATGGTAGCTGGTAATACAGCTTTGATCAGTAGTCATATCTAATGCAGCCGTTCCTTTAACGTGTTTGTATCTTAGTTCAGAAGTGATATCGATCAAATTAGTATATGCTTAAATCATCTACTCAGTGGTGGCCGCTGGTAAAACCCTGCAGCCTCTACTATTTTGTTAATAAATACTGAGATAATCAGCAGTGGACAAAGCCACTCAAAGACTACTGAGGAAATAATCAATAACGTTCAGCCTCAGTGCTTCTTCCTCTTTGAAGTGTTGGCTTCAAACAGCTGACAGATTAAAAAGGCCAGAGGGAACATGTTTACTACCAGACAACCTAAAAGACAATCAATGAGATTATCACACAACATTGTGCTGATGTAAAATGACGCTGCATCTTCATGTCTTCCTACATTTGGAATAGTGTCCCAGGACATCGTTGTGGGATGTTTTAGGTTGAGGTGGCCTAGTGTTTGGTAGCTTTTGTAATGCCTTGAGTCTTATATAACGAAAACTACGCACGCAGATGTAACGGCAGGACATTCGCTGGGGAAAGCCTGAGGGTAAGAGGTGGTTTTATTTTTAAGTACAGTCTGCTGGCGTTCATCAGAGCTCACCTGAGTCTAGTTCACTGCCTCCATCTAACAACATTGATCAAATGACAAAAAAAAAAATACAGGACATGCTCTCTTCAAAGCATCAGCATTGCAAGTCTGTCCCCCCTCCCTCCCCCTCCACACTGCCACCAGGCTGAAACAACACAATGTGATACAGATATCAAGTCAATCACACTCAACCATGCATACAAACAAACAGAGCATTCATACTCTGAAGAAAGACATTTCATTGATCCCCGGGAGAAAATTTAACACTTTTTTGGATGTCCTCTCTCACTGTCCTCATCTCTGCTTCGAAAGCACTCTCATAAACAGTGGCGACAGGATGTGGGATGAGGACAAAACTGCGCTTCGCTCAAGTCGTAAGGACTAAATCTTTCCAGCTCAGCAACATTCAGACAACAGCAGCCAGAGTGCACTGAAGTCCATCAATCGATCCACGTTCTCCGCATTTAACGATACACATGTTTTCACTGTGCGTTTGTACATTCATCTTTTTTGGGGACAATAGTGTGCGAGCCAACAGCAGACCTAAATATTACCCCACTGGACCCATTTGGCACGGCCACAAGTGCTGTAATCAATCTGATGCTACACAACCAACACAGATGCTATTTCAGTTAAACATTCACAGATCAACACAGATCAAATAGACCACAGTATCATCTGAAGACCATTTCTGTGTGCTGATGGGATATTATTAAAACGTTTATTAAGACTAATTATTAAGACTGTGGCTCACTGGCTTAAGAGGGTTGTCTGGTAACCGCAAGGTCAACGGTTCGATCCTCGACTGGGACGTGCCACGTGTCCCTGAGCAAGACACTAAACCCCCGGGCTCCCGTCATTGGCAGCCCACTATATACAGGGATGGGTCGAATTTCATGTATGTGTATATGACAATAAAACTGTATATGGCGCCTGCTTGTTGGAAAAAGCGAGAGTAGCACTCACCAAGTCACATTACTAATTTAAAACACTAAACCTAGAGGATTGTGCAGTATATTATTTATATGCTTAAAATCGAGTAGCATCAGGAACAGAAGATAACAGTGTATTATCCACAGCATGATGCTCATAAAGGACAGTAGAGCAACACACAGTAGGAGTCGCTATCAACACTTCACTCGTCAAGACAGAGATGAATTCACTGGAAGCTTCTCAGGTGCATGGCAGCACTTAAAACAATTAAGGTAGACCCAGAGGACATTGTGAAAGAAACACAACACATGAGGACAAATCAGAACCACAATCCTTTCACGATTCACAGACACTTACGGTTGAACTCCCTGCGGCAGACATGGGGCCTCCAGGGTCGGTTCCGTATCCAGTTCAGACGCCGACGCAGCTCCATGGTGCCAAGATGGTGCCAGTGTGTGACGGCCACTCACCCATCAAAGAGCAGCACCCCGGTGCTTCTGCCCATCCCCAGGACAGACTCTCCCTCCAGAGCATCAGTGGTGCCAAGTATCCCCCCCCGTAAGCAGCCTGGATCTTTTAAAGCTAATAATTGACTTTATCTTTTAGCCCGTCCTGCGCTCTCTGAGGGAGAGCTGTTATTGTAGCCGTTGGTGCTCGGCTGCATTTCCCCTCCACTGCTTTATCTTTAATGCATGAGTCAGTGGAACCCAACTCCCTGCACTCCTGGGGAGGGACAGAGGCAGAACTCTCCCCAGGAACGGGCGCCTACTGACAGGCAGCATCTGAAGCAAAGAGCGCACATACTGCTGAAATGTGATGCCTCCGCACCGAGCCCTCGGGGAGGCAAGGTGGACGGATGGACAGGAGGTGTGGCTTGGCCAGCCACCTGAGGAGGCTGAAAGGAAGCCAGAGACACCAAGAGAGGGGGACACTGTCCGAGTGTGTACACACAGAAATACACAGCTTCATGAAGAACTATGGCAGCCTACTGAACCTACGCTGACACCTATGTTGGTCTTTAATTCTCTGCCACCTTGAATATTTACTTTGGTTGCAAAATCCTGTAGCTATGAAAAAGGAATACTGAAGTTTGTTATTGTGCTCACAAACAAGGAGATATATACTGTATATATGTATAAAATCTACATGTTGATAATACATTACTTGTATTCAGGAATCATACCGACTCTTACTGTAATACTGATGTACTTATAAAACTATACATTGTGTAGTCTGCTCATCTTTCACTGGAAAACTGCGACATTACTATCTGATCATGACATTTTGTACTGCATTAATCTGCTGCTGCATAACTGTATACTGTTATTTTTCCAGGGGGGGGGGGGGGGGGAGATCTAAATGTATAATGTAATAATAAGAAAACATTGAAAAAAAGTGTGCTGTCAATCAATTTCCCATCAGAAAAATTCCCAAACATATAAATGTTTTAAAAAGCTGGTATGCCAGACATAAAAAATATGTTTTTTTATGAAAAAGAGTCAGAAAATGAAAAAAGGGGAAAAAAAACTTTAACAGCCTAAAGTAAAATATTCAAATACATTTTGTGATACCAGTCGAACACCTCAAGAGATTCATCATATCTGTACAGAACTCAGATAATTTAGAAACAAATGTTAAACTTGAAAATAACTTCAACAGCTTTAAACTATTTACAAACAAAGGTACCCACTGGAGCTAAACCAACAGAAACTGCATTTAGAAAAGATTTCATGAAGCGTTACAAGACCATGACCTCTAGTGGCGGTCAGCCGCCATGTTTCCAGTTCGGGTAGAGGACAGTGGATAAGAACAGTCAAAGTCACTGAAACACACATTTTGAACTCTCCTTTATTCAAATAAAACAAAGCACCTTCATGCGTCAGTCTGGGAAAACAAGACTTCCTCCACTGAAAAACATGTCTTGCTATTTGGTTTGTCCAACACAATAAATAAAAACACACAATTCTACAAATACACAAATCACAACTTTGTCAAACCCGAGCCAACCAGCACACACGGATTCAGTATTTGGTACCTCATGAAACACATCAAATATACTGCAACATTCAAGTCCTGTGATTTCCGAGTATATAAGAACTTCCTAACATAATTACACATGGAAATACATTGAGAATATTCTGTGTTCACAGCAGATATACGGTGGTTTTCTTCTCAACAACACGCACACACACAAAACTGCCTAGTTTGGTTTAAACGATGACACCGACCCCAGAGGAAGCAACATTAAACAGGCTGGTGTTGTGGGAGTGCTCAAGTCAAGACACTATGGGGTCCTAAATCCAGGTCCTGACTATTTCCAGCTGAGAATTAACTGAGCTTCATCGAAAATAGACAGGGCCTTTGGGAGACCACACTCACAGAAGGCACATAAAGTACAACAGTTCAAAATTTGACTCGTTTCTACCTGTAGCTCAACTCCCTGCGGGTGCAATTGTCTCAAAGCAGACACACTTTGCTACGGGCTCACAGCAGTCTGACTGTGAGCAGAAAGCTGGTCCCACTCTCAGCCCGGTTAAGACCTTTGGCTGTGCACGGTGAATAAATGGCCCACGCTGGTCATATATTCAACAAGGCAACGTTACATTAAATATACCATTTGTGTTACAAACTCTTAAGACAAGAGTGCTACAACGTGTGCATATCGGCTTCCGTTTGTTTGAGAAGACAAACATTACCCAGAGGAGTCTGGCAGGTACGTCTGCTTGATCCGGAAACCATCACCACATAGCAATGTACATTTTGTTCACATCTATAATCCTTTAGTGACATTACTCACTGGTTTGTGTTTGAAGAGAGGACAAGGTGACAGAAACGGCATAAACAAAAACATGGAAATTGTAGATGGACTCTAGAGTGACGCATGGAAAAATCTCATAGCTCGTCCCTGGAAGTAAATATTCGGTGCCTCCTGACTACCACTAGGAGGCACCAGAGATCAGATATAGCCCTGAAGATGCATTCAAAGGATTCTCAGTGGAACAGAAGCAGGATCAAGACAGATCATCATAATCAACTGACAACAAGCTTGCAAAAAAAAAAAAAAAAATAACAGCACTTTTGTAAATAATCTCTTCCCTCTTCTAACCAAGCTAATAGTTACAGATCTGTCCATTTGGTCATCCAGTAGAATAACAGATAAAGCTTTTCTATAATCACGGTAGCTGTACAACAAAACAGAAAAAGAAAATGTCATGTGCAAATTTGCCGCAGTTTTTCCAGAGGTCTGTCAAAAGGTCCAACCACAACGTTTTGGGACATCGCCTGGCTGCCACACCGATTCAGTTGATGTTTTAAACTCTAACAAAAAAAAACCTTTAATACATTTGTGAAAACTACACACTGGTTTGCATCAACATCAGACCGAATCAAAACATTTACACACAAGCAGTTGGAGTTTCAAGTCTGCAACTCTCAGCATTTGAACCAGTGGTCGGTCCCGCCTCACTCTGTTGAAAGATAAACATGCGGCCTTTCTTTGATCTTAAGGAACCCAAAAGGGTTGGATCGGCCATCACAGTGTGACATTTGTAACCTGTGATAACGGGTCCCGAGCATCCTTTCAAAAAGAGTCACAAGGTTTGAACCGTCCATGCTCATCTTCCACACATTCAAATGAGCTACAGTAACTCAAACTGTTAACGTGAGGTGTGATGCAACACATGCAAAGCATAAACATTTGTAAATACACCCGTGTACATAACCTCCCGTTTGTGAACAAATCACCTGAAGCATGTTTGCAGAGTGGGTTCCTTGTGGATCAGGTCATTACTTTTCCTTTGTCAGCGTGTGTGCGTGAGTTGCAGTTGTACGGGCATATGTGTGGAGGGAGTTGCACAGTTAACACTGCACTGTGTAATATCATGTGACTGTGCTCAAATTCCACTGAGTTAATCTATAGAGTGCTGCTGTTTGGAGGGTTATACGGAGCATAATTTTTTAAATAATGCAGAGTAAAATCTTGCTTTTGTATTTATATGGCTTGTGCGTGAGAGAGGAGGAAGGGAAGAGGTGTGTTGAGCTCACCTTTCCAGTTTTCTTCATCCTCTCTTTAAATCAATCCAGCTATACTCTTCTAAAACCTGATTGTCTGCAGCTCTCAGCCTCCTTTGTGTTCATTCTTCCTCTTCCATCCCTCCATACAGCATTTCACACGAGGGGTTTTGTTGCTCCGTCATTCGATCTTCTCTGGGTCTAAATTGTCCAGGTCGATACCGGGCGAGGTCACACAACACACGCACAGCTTTTGGGTGTACAGAGAGATGTCATCTGTGGTGATGGCAGAAAAAAAAAAGGGTTGTACTGAATAAACAACTTAGAATGATTACTAGTTTAAACATTTTGCATAAAACAAATAGTATTAGGAGGGATTATTCCTCAACTGCCGGTTTTACAGAACCCTTTACAGTATGTGGGCTCATTAATACACTGAACTTTGAAACAGTAATCTCAATCACTCTTCAGCTCTTAACAGTAAGACGAGGAGTTTTTACAAGTGCCAACTGTAGCTGGTCTGCATGCAACTTACAGTAAGACTTGTAAGCTACTTTCAGAGGTTATCCATAATAACGCCACACGTCCACATTCATGCACAGGGATTGTTTACAGCTTACGTTGCCGGACTTTGAACGGTCATCATTTAGCCTATTGTAGATGTATCTGTCGGCCGATACAACCGAACAAGAAATCACAGAACAGAAATGCCAAAACAAGGTTTCAGGTCATTTGGAAAGAGTGTAACTCTTACAGTGTTTTCCACCAGAGAGCACTGACGGGTTGATTTTTCAACTCTAAAAGGATGTACGCTCATTATGCATCCTGGTCACATCAATAAAAATAATTTTAACATTATATGTTTAAGTTCAAATAAATTACAGCCCCATTTATAAATAGTACTCAGATTTTTTAAGCCTCTTACCGAGCATTTTTCCGAAGTAGGCTGGTCGTGAGCTAGGTGGCAGGTGGATGCAGAAGTAGTAGACTGGTACACCAGACAACGCCACAGCAATTCCCACCAAAGTGTTGATGGTGTCGCTGTAGAGGGGAACCACAACCAGGAATATGCTGCACAAGCAGTAGACAATCGGGAAGAACAAAGAGAGCTGCATGGGAAGGGAGGGCGGACAGAGGAGGATAAACAAAAGGTTTAGTGAGAAAGGTTCGGGAGAAGAAATGTTGAAAACTTTAACAAAAATGACATTAAGAAACATTCTAACCACATTCCTCTGATTATATAATTGTGGCTCTAATCACCCTTAGATTGCTCAGCCAGCATGCAGTACGTGATTAGATTCAAAACATCATGGGCTTCTAACATCGTCGTCATAACTCTAAGCCATTGCTGGGGGAGGTCAGGCCTGCTATGAAAATGCTTGAAAGGTTATAGATACAGTAGCACGTTATCTTTCTGACCGGATCTGTTTGGAGGACAGATCACAGCTTTTTGTATCTTCTTACCTACTGTTTATTTAGTTTTCTGTTTCTGGATAAATCACCTGGAAACCTTTGAGACGTCATGATGTGACACTTTTGGCCTAAAGCTGCCCCGTTTAGCCAGCATACGTCTTTCTAACAGGGTGAAGGCAATGGGAGAGATACAGCGTATGCTATTCTTCCAGGTGTCTAGAGCCTCTTATGCTGCAAGGCTAGACACATATTTTCTAAACAGGTTTCATGCAAACATATTATGAATGCCCAGTATCTGCATGCAAGCAGGAAATGAAGATAAGGTAACTCTGTTGCTTCCTTTAAAGACACCCCAAAAGAGAGACTGTCGGAGAAAGGAACGGAAATGGAAAAAAAACAGGTCTACATGCATTTTACGAGAGATGGAAAAATGCAATGAGGACTTATCAATTGGCAGTTAAGGGTGCCAGAAATTCCTTCTTCTCCAACTTCATTTTAGCAAATCATTCGAATCCGAGAATTTCATTTAAGACAATCGACTCTGTGGTCACCCCCTCCTCCTGTCATTACTGATGCCTCACGAGAGATGTGTGAGCAAAACAGAGTCAAGGACATCAGGCAACAAATTCCATATACATGCTCCCACTTGGTCGCATCATCCAACGTCACAATATGTATTTTCATTGCTACGCAGACGACACACATATATACCTTCCCTTGAGACCTATTGAACTTTGCCATAACAATGAGATTAATCGCTAT